CAAATGGCCAATAAATACATGAAAGATGCTCATAGTCATTAGGGAAATGCAAATCAAAACCACAATGAGATACCACTTCACACCCTTCAGACGGAATGGTTAGAATAAAAAAAAAAAAAGTCAGATATTAACAAAAGTTGGAAAGTATGTGAAGAAATCAGAACCCTCAAACACTACTCAGGGAAATGTAAGATGGGTGCAGCCACTTTGGAAAAAGCAGTCTGGCAGTACCTCCAAACAATTAAACATAGAGTTAGCATATACTCCAGCAATTCTACTCTTAGGTACCCAAGAGAAAGGAAAACATACATCCACACAAAAAATGTGTACACAAATGTATAGTAGCATTATTTTTAATAGTCAAAAGATGGAAATAACCCTAATGTCCATCAACTGATGAATCAATAAGCAAATTTCAGTATACCCATACAATGGATTGTTATTCAGCCATAAAAAGGAATGAAGTACTGATAGATGCTACAACATGCATGAACCTTGGAAACACGATGCTAAGTGAAAGAATAACCAAAAACCAAACTCCTTGTCGTCAAGTGGATTCCGACTCATAGCAACCCTATAGGACAGAGTAGAACTGCCCCATAGGGTTTCCAAGGCGCACCTGGTGGATTCCAACAGCTGACCTATTGGTTAGCAGCTGAGTTCTTAACCACTGCACCACCAGGGCTAGTCAAAGAAGATCACATATTGTATGATTCCATTCATGTAAAATGTTCTTAACAGGGAAATACATATACACAAAAAGTAAATTAACGGGCTGGGGTCGGTGATGGAGGATAGGGAAGGACAAAGAGTATGGGGTTTGCTTTTGAAGTGATGAAAATGTTCTAAAATTCACTGTCTTGATTATTGCACATATCTGTGAATATACTAAAATATATTTTAAGTAGGTGAATTGTATATTATATGAATCATATCTCTATAAATCTGTTTAGATAAAAAAGCTAATGGAAACCAACAACAATCCAGTAGTAGCAGGACTGCTGATGGCAAAGATCCTTCAGGAATGAAGATTTTGGTCATCCTACCAGGAGAGGAATCACAGTCAGCTGAGACACTTGCTGGGGGCAAGGAGAATATGAAATGGGTAGTGGAAGAAGGAAGTTATCGTTGAGTCAGAGTTGACTCGACAGCAACGGGTTTGGTTTTGGTATGATCCTATGACTAGTAGTAAATATGAAGGTTCTATAGTTTTGAGTATTTTTTTTCTTATTTTGGTGTAAGCGTATTTGTGTGTGTGTGTAATCTCAATCAGTTCATTTTTCCCCTCTCCTATTTCCCTGTTCTTTAATATAAGACTCATTAATGGTGATTGATTCTGTATCTTAGGATTAAAGTTATAGGATATTCAAAGGGTTATTTAACTTAGTTACAGAAGGAATGAACATCACTCAAAGATGGATATTAAAAAGTAGAGTTGAATGGATAGATCACTTCCAAGTTCACAGTTAGGAATCCCTACGAGGTGGGGTTCTAAAATCTGCAGAGTCCTTTGTCTCAGCAGAAGATGCAGAGAAAGGCAATAGATCATTTGACTCACATCCTCTTCAATGATCCCCTCAACTCTAGTCCATTTTCAAAGAATTTCTAGAAGACACCTCAGACCATGAGGCCAATCCAGGTATTGGCATTAACTCTGACCCAGAGGGCCCTGGCGAAGCTGGGGTTACTTCCACATCAGATTCCACTGAAGTGAACAAAAGCCTCTTCTTTACGTACTTCTTTCACCACGGACCTGAAATTTGTTTACCTCTCAAACCAGTGGAATAGACTTCCCTAGACAAACAACATGGAAACTGATGTCACCCCTCTTCCCTCCCACCCCCAATTAGTGTCTTAGGAGTTTAGGCTTCAAACAGTATCCATGAGTATAAAAAGTTAAGATTACAAAGAACTCACCGATGTATAGCATAGTCAAATTATCCCAACATTGGTTGGTAGGTTATACTCATGACACTATAGCCTATGAGCAACTTCAGGTGAGGCCCTTTGTCTTATTGACCTCTTTATCCCCTGTGTCTGGCACAGTGCGTGGCACAAAGTAGGTGCTTAATAAGTAGTTGTTGAATGAATGAATTCTTAGGCTAATTCTTCATATCTTTTATTTCATTCAGTCAGTGAAAAACTATTATTTAAGCACCTATTATGGACCACAGAGCCCTGGTGGTACAGTGGCCAAGAGCTCGGCTGCTAACCAAAAAGGTTGGCAGTTTGAATCCACCAGCAGCTCCTTGGAAACCCAATAGAGAAGTTCTACTCTGTCCTATAGGGTTGCTATGAGTCAGAATCGACTCGACAGCAATGGGTTTGGTTTTATGTACCACACACTGTACAAAGCTGTGAATGAACAACACAGATATGAGTCCTTTCAGACCTTGTTCATTACCACCACCAGTTACTGTCAAGTCAATTCCAACTCATGGAGGCCGTTTGCATGTAAGAATAGAACTGTGCTCTATAGGGTTTTCAATGGTTGATTTTTCAGAAGTAGATCACCAGGCCTTTCTTCTGAGGTGCCTCTGGGTAGACTCAAACCTCTAACCTTCTGGTTAGCGGCCAAGCATGTTAAGCATTTGCACCACCCAGAAACTCCTTCATAGTCTAACTGAAACTGGTAAAGTAAGCAACTTCCACTCCTATGACTCACACTATTTTTGTAACCTCTGGGTGGACAACAATACTTCTGAGTCTAGGTTTCCTCAAATTCAACGGCTGGACAAAATTACTTATTCTATAAGGTTCTTCCAGCTTTAAAATTACTGTGAAGCATAGTAAATGCATAAGGTAGTATATATAACTTTCATATACCATAAAAGCTTGTTAAGTTTTAAGATTATAAAGTTACTTTTACAAATTTGAAGAATTCCAAAAATGGATGTTCTTTTCAGTTCAAAAGCAATTCAGTTTCTCAAATGGATACATGCACACCATGTTATAAACCACATAAAGAATCCAGCAACTCTAGCATTGTTGTGTTATTAAACCAGATTTCTGTCATACAATGCAACTTCCTTGAGGGTGCAATATTTTACGTTCGGTATCCTTCATAAGATCTAGCACAGACTTTTGAAAAAAAATAGCATTCAATAAATCAGTTAATACAATGAAAACAACTTAAGAATCACTAAGAGTTCTAACTTGAATTACACTTAGGAGATTCATAAACCCCACAAAACTACAGGCAAAACTATGTGTTTGTGGTCCATTTAGTGAAGAGTTCTTTGGTCTCAAAGAGATCTATTAACCAAAAAGGTTTATTCATTCATTATATATTAATTCAATATTAATTGCTTGCCAGGCACTGTACGGTGGTTTAGGCTTAGAATTTAAACTGATTTTATAATAAATTAATATTGAATGCACCTAGTTTTTACAGAATCTACTTTCACATATTCACACCACTGCAATTAATGTACACTCTGTTAAATATATTTACATCCTAAATCAGCATCAGATAATTTGCAGTAATTTAGTATGTTGTTTGCTGGTAAAATATACTTTAGGAATATATTCTTACTGGTTTCACGGAAAATCCTTCATGATGATAGAACTGATAGAGCTAGAGAGAGAAAAAATATAACTTAAAAATGTCTTTAGTGAATCATATTGCTCCGATTATTTCAACCATCTTTGGTTCATCAACTATCCTACAGCACAGCTGCGTTTCCGTTTATTCCTAACAATAATAATAAAGCTACTATCCTTAAAAAAATGATGACACATGAAGAAAACTTCAAAAAATTGTTTTGTAAGTAGTTTTCTTGGGGAATTTCCACTGACTGAAAAGAACAGCTTTCAAATGCTCCACATGGAGAACAAAAAGTATTCTTAAAAACTCAAGAAAAATTTTAATGGCAATTTTTCCACTTTGGAAATCTTACATTCCTCCTCGTTATATTAAGCATTATATATCCAGAGTTAATCAATATTTATATGAACAGATATTTTAATATTCTGAAGAAAATTATCTTTGTCTTTGAGGAGTGTCATATCCTTCTCATCAACACATGGAAAGGGCTATTTCCCTGGATACAGGCATACGCACACTCAAAGATTAAAAGTATCATCCACAGTAGGTGTTCACTTTATAGTATGAAATTTTCTATGTAAGATGATCCAAAAGGACTATTTCAAAAAATGATGAGCTTACGCTATTTAAGAAACCATTAATTCCTAATATCTATGCTCTACTAGAACTGAGCTGCAATCAGTGATAGTGGCCAGGAGATGGCGAACTCTCATTTTCAAAAACTTACTTCTTAGATGGTTGTGTAATTCAATGTTCGTTTTAAAGAAAAAAAAATTTTTCATGACACTTGTTATTACACATGGTAAATATGAATTAAAAAAAACAAGACATTCAGAAAAACAAGAAATTCAAATTACTCAAAAGTTTTACTCATAACTGATCATTTATATTCAAATAAAATATTTTAAAAATACTTTGAATAGCTTTATTTTCTCCTGTGAACAAGAAAGAGAAGAGAAGAAGAAGTTTAAAAATTATAATTATGTAGAAATATCTCAATTTTTCAACTCTTTCTGTTGGCTCACTTTATAGTATGCTAGATTGCTTTATACTTACAGAAGTATTTTAAAACTATATACTCCACTTTCCAATAAAATAAAAACAAGTATATTTTTAAAATAGGAATTTTACAACTGCTATTTTTAGAGAAAATTTGTTAGTTTAAAGTAAAAAGATTTCCTGATATATCTTTATTCAAGGCACATGTAATGTTCAAATGTTTCTTTCACTTAATAAATGCTAAAGACATTTTGTTCAAATCTAAAGTCTATTCTATTGTGTATGAAAAAAATAGCACTTTTAAGGACTAATAATCCACTCACATATATATTGTAATACATTAGTAGATGTGGTGTGTGTGTGTGTGTGTATGTGTGTGTGTGTGTGTCTGTGTGTCTGCGTGTGTATTGTATGCTTCTAAAAATACTCCAGAAAGGGAGACCAGGCAGATACATTAATGATTCTCCTGATTCAGTCTGGAATACAGTCCACCACCAGTTACTGAATCTTTGCTGGGAAGGTAAGAAGAATCCCTAAGCATTCCTGAAAAAGAATAATCCAAAGGTGGCCGGAAAGGCAATGCAGGTACCAACCCAGATGTTAGGTAGGGTGACATGAAACCGGACAGCCCTCTTCCTGGAGAGGAATATGCCAGCCGTAAAGGACTGATACCTAGTCTAGGACTTAAACTGTAGAGACTTGAATCACCTCCATAAGAAGCAGAAGTGGTCTGAAGAGGAGAGAAAGCTGATTTATTCCCTAGAGCTCCAAAACCAATTCTAGCTAGACTCAAGTTAGGAGCTCTCTGAAAGGCTGTAGGTCCAGATCCTCCTGAGCTTGCTAGCTCCCTGGTGTCTGACTTGTGCTCTTTTCCATTTAAGACCTGTTCAATGGCTTGGACTACATCTCCTTTGCAGAACTGTAGAATACCTTCCAGCCGGCTGCGCCTGTAACCTGGGAAAATCTTGGTAAGGATATCAAGAGGGTCTCTTTGTCTTGAGGACACTGTGGGAAAGTGAGATCTGGGAGCAGTGAAGTCTTTGGCCCACTCACTTTCATTTCCTGATTCCAGATCAGAGGATGACAAGGACCTGGGACTCTCATCACCTCCTGACTGCTCCCCAGGATTAGGAGACAAGATGTTATCCTCCTTGTTTGTATTTTCTGAACTAGATGATCTGATGTTTTGCTTTCCAATGACCCCATTAGACTTGGGAGATGATCCCAGGGAAAGTTGATGGGATTTGGAGGCTGGTTCTTCTTGCCCGCTCTGGTATAAGCCACTTTTACTTGTTTTTTGATCTGGAGAAGAGAAAAAAATAGAAGAATCAAATATAGGACAAACGTTCTAGAACATGGTTCTGCCTATTGAAAAAATAATGCCGGATAATAATTCATTCACTCATAGTAATAATTATTCACTCTAAGAAATGATAATGAATAACTCAATTTTAAAGGATCATTCTGAAATGCAGGGGTTGGCAAAATGGAAAGATGCTACTTCTTATGTCATTTCAGGATCACAACGTCATACAATACATATAAATGTAGCAATTATTTAGGAATCACAAGATAAGAGTCTATTGTTACTCCCAAACTATTACCCTAACATCACGATTGAACACTGTTTGCCCCATCTCAGCAATTTGAGATTTTCCTAAAAGTTATCCAAGTTTTGTTGTTGTTAGGCGCCACTGAGTCGATTTTCAACTCATAGTAACCCCATGTGACAGAGTAGAACTGCCCCTTAGAGTTTTCTAGGAGGTAATCTTTACGGGATCAGATCACCAGGTCTTTCTCCTGTGGAGCCACTGGGTGGTTTGAACTGCCCACCTTTCAGTTGGTAGCCAAGCGCTTAACTGTTGAGCCACCAAAGCTCCTTTTTTCATGATTACAGTATGTAAAAAGAACTAAATAAAATTATTATGTTTACATAAGAAGTCAAAAGAAGCAATAATTTTAGTTTGCAAATGAATGTCATATTTAATCACTAATGCTAAATTTCAGCAATTGGTTTCTTATGCTTACATTTCAAGTTCCAATTAAGTGACGTGAATAATGTTGAGGAAATAACAAAATTGTTCATTTCATTGCAAAATTAAGCCAATAGTGACTACTGTGATAGTAATCTCAAATCATACTAGAGCTTGCATATTTATTTCATTTTATGTGAGAGATGATACACAGTTGGTATTTTTCATAATTATTTGTAAACTATGTACTTTTTTCCAATCCCTAGGAAATATCAAGAAAATAATGTTGTTTCTAAAATAAAGCTATAAACAGCACTACTGCAGTCTATATGGATCTTCAAAGTGTTTTGTAAAAACAATGAATTAGGTATTTGCTTCAAATCACATTCTCCCAAAAATAAGGGAAAACTGTCTAGAAAATACTTTTACATAAAAATCTGAATTTTCTTCCTCAATATGCTTAACATATGAATATTAATAAAACAAGAACATATTTAATATCCTTTTGCAGGCTAATGCCAGGAAATTAATAACAATGTACACATTAGCTAAGTAACTTTTATTTTGGTTTAAATTTCCTCTTATCCAATAGACATACTTTAGCTCTATTTCCATGAGAAAGGGTAAATTATCAAGAGGGTTATCCAGAGTGTTTCTGTCAAACTTCCTTTTTCCATAAAGCGGGTTAAGTGCAATAAAATGTATATTGCCTATCTTCTCATGTATTTGATGGCCATTTAAATATCCTCTCTGGGGAACTGTCTATTTTTGTCCTTTGCCCATTTGTTGACTGAGTTGTTTATTCGCTTGTTTGTTTGTTTTTCTTGTTAAGTTGTAGGACCAAAAAACCAAACCCATTGCCACTGAGTCGATTCCGACTCATAGCGACCCTATAAGATGGAGTAGAACTGCCCCATAGAGTTTCCAAGGAGGTCTTGCTGGATTCTAACTGCCAGCCTTTTGGTTAGCAGCCATAGCTATTAACCACTATGCGCCACCAGGGTTTCCAAGTTGTAGGAGTACTTTACATATTCTAGATATGAGACCTTTGTTATATAGTTCCTAAAATTTTCTCCCAATCTGTACTTCACTTTGTTGACAAATTCCTTTGATGAACAGAAATCTTTCATTTGGATCAGATCCCATTCATCTATTTTGTCTTTTGTTGCTTATGCCTTTGGCATCATGTCCAAGAATCTGTTGCAAGAATCATAGGTAGCACAACTTGAAGAATGTAATCATTGTCACTGAATCGTGCATGTCGAAATCGCTGAGATGGTGGATCTTTGGCTGTGTATACTTTCACCAAAATTTAAAAAATTAAAGATTATCACAAAAAAATGTATATTGCCTAAATCGAGGATTTAAAACTGCAATTTGCAATAGCCCCATGTTTTCTCCAGTTCTCTTAAGGAGGAGTCCTAAATTCTAAAGAAAGTTCTGGAGTTTCTTTTTAAAGTAAAGAAACTATGTGTGGTTAGCACTTTGAGGGTCAAAATGTTATTGTTATATCAAACATTGGACAAAAAAAAAAAAAGATCTTGTTACTCCAAAATTACAAGGGCTGTATAAAATTTAAATAAAACAATAATGCTTTTCTAATGAATAGCCTGTAGAGTGGAGACATGCATTGTCCCTCTGTTCCATTTAACTTACAATTAAACATGCCCCTGAACGTGTAAAAATACCATAATTTCATCTCTGCAGCAATTTATGTATAAAATAATTATCTAGCTACTGTGTTCATGAAATGCTGATTGCATAAGACTATTTAGAAAATAAGGTGTCTTTAAAATATTATGATACTTTTTATATCATCTCTCTGTCTTCTGAACTTCTACAGTTTGTTTTAATTCTTCATTTGCTTTTATCATTGTATATTAATCCTTGAATTATAGTTTTTGGATACATATAATCTTTCTCCTTTTGAATATAAGGTTCTTTTGTGTATTCACCTCTGAATCATTCAGTTAGTCTTTGTCTAATGAATGAATAAATTAAATAGATGGCCTTACTACAGTTCACGGATATTGTGTAATAGGAGGCAACTGAGGTAGCCTTTCAAAAAGTAGCTTGTTTTTATAGGGGGTCACCTGAGGCAAAGAATAAAATAAAATAATAAATCCTATAAAACAGAACCCTTTGGTTATCAAAAAGAAAAAAATATCACATAAATAAACATCTCTCTGAGACGGTCAGCCATATATCACTATCAATTTAGTTTGAGGAATTCTAACCTCTCTTTTAAAACAGTTTTACTTATTAACTTTACTCTTCAGTCCTCTTTGATCTTTCATAAGAAATGTTTAAAGTCTTTTTTTTCCTACTGAAATACACTAGAACGTGTTCAAAAAGTTGGCATAGGCAAACACAAAATGATACATGTTTCATTTAAATACAGATAGTCTTTTTCAAAAGTACAGCCTGTGATCTGTTAACATCTGCAATTTTTAATCTTCAGGGAAATTTTCTCATTAACAACTTACTGTACATCAATATCATAGAATTTCATATGATAGAACCTGTCTTGAACTTATACATATATACTGAAATGGCATTTTCACTGCTAATAGGCCCTGTGGGGGATTATGAAATTTGCTAAAATTTAGTGGCATTAACATTAACAGGAAAAGTTAATTTGGGATTGCCTTGGCCAAAAATAAAAATCTTTTTTTACCTAAAACCTTGATCCTTGAGCTACTTTTTCCAGTGCAACACAGGGGATGGGATGATTTGCAGTCAATAAATAAGAAAAAAAAAAATCAAAAGCCCAATATTGGACTTTGAAATTCTTACCAATGCTTTTACAAATCTAGAAAATCTTTTTTTTTTTTTTTCCTATAGGAGTTGAAATTTTAAATATTAGAGCTTTCTACAGCTTGGGAAACTGACCACAAATACAAATGTTGAAGTGGGGAGGGGGAATGTTTAAATATTTAAAGGAAAGAGGAAAAAGGACTGTTTGGTAGATTTCAATCTCTCCCCTACGTCTGTTGTTGAGTGCCCTGGAGTTGCTTTTTTACTCTTAGGGACCACATGTGACCAGAGTAGGACTGTCCCGTTAGGTTTTTAGACTGTCCCATTGGGTTTTTTGACTGTCCCACTGGGTTTTTTAGTCTGTAATCTTTAGGGAAGCAAATGCCAGGTCTTTCTCCCCAAGAGTCACTGGGTGAGTTCAAACCAACCTTTCAGTTAACTGAACCTTTGCTTCACCAGAGCTCCTTTTGCTACTTCTAGCTGGCACCAAAGATTTGCTCGGAAGTTACAGAACTACATTCCCACCCATCAGTGAGTTTCCCAAGCAAGATTAGAGGGTTAATTGTGGTTTTATAGGTGAAAACAGGCCACAGAACAGGCTCAAAACACAGCACGTCTTACTGAGCTTTTCGCTCAGTGCCCGGGTGAAGTTCTACTCAGGCGGAGAAGTTTTACACTAATTTTCACCGAAGAACTCCGTTCTTTGAGTTGCTCGTCTGTGCTTGCCCTGGCTTCCCTTTCATTGCCTTATCCTATCACTTCATGAAACAAACAGCAAGCGCTTCCGAAGTGAGGATTATGGGTAGCAGTTTCCCCAAACTTAAATAAGTGCCTCTTTTAACAACTTGTCTTGCCCAGCTCCAGGGCACGGGCACGGGCACGGCTGCTTGTTTCAAAAAGTTTTTCTCCTGAGCAACGTTTTGTTGTACAAAGAGCAAATGAAAGACCAACTCACCTTGTTTTTCCTCGGGATAGTCCCGCCGGAAAACCTCAAAAGCGGGGGTCGCCCGACCACTAGCCTCCGTCAAGGCCCGCAGTCCCAGGGCAGCCACCGCCTCCGGGACGCCGGCCGCCTGGGGGTCCTCGCTTCCGCCACTGACTCGGGTTGCCTGACCCTCTGGCCCCGGGGGTGCAGAGTATAGCAGCCTCGGCAGCCCGCGGGGCTCGCTCTCCTCCTGTGCCTGCTGCCTGCGCAGCGCCACCTGGGCGGCCATGACGCGCTGGCGCTCCGCGATCAAGGTGCACTTGGCACAAGCGCAGTCCCGCCAGCGGCAGAAGCGCTTGTGGCCCTTGAGCGCCGACACCACGCCGTGGTTGCGACAACGAGCGCACTTAGGGGTCCGCGGGTAGCCGCAGCCCACCGCCGCCATCCCTCTCTCTAGCCCGGGCGCTGGTGGGCAGGCTCCGCTCCCGGTGGCAGCGGCGGCGGCGGCTGCCCGCAGAAAGAGGCTCGGCGGCCGGAGGAAAGCTGGAGCAACAGGCATCCCCGGGGTCACCGGCAACGCTGGGGACCGGGGCGGAGGCACAGCCGCCACCAGCCCCGCAGCCGGCTGGGATCGGCCGCTACCTCTGCAGTCGTTGCTGCCACACTGTGACTGCTCCATTCCGGAGAAGTTGCTGGCGAGGGTTAAAACAGGAAAGCCTGCCCTGTCCGCGCTGTCCGCAGCTAACCCTGCCGGGGTGCAGGGGGCGGGGGGGACGGGCCGTTGTCGCGCTGCCCCCCACCCACAAAGTTGTCCACTCCTCCCGCAGTGAATAGGAGACGAACGTGTCCCGGAGCTGGAGATGCCAAGAGGCGCAGACGCCCAGGACCCGGTGCAAAGTTAATGTCCCTGTGCTTGGAGCGCCTTTGGAGCCAGAGAACCGGAGCTGCGAGTCTACCCCGCCCACTCGGTCAACTGGCAAAGCGCTGGAGCCCTGGGAGGGCCAGGGGCGGAGAGTGGGGACTATCTGGGAGGAGGGGCAGCTTGGCGGTGGAAGGCACAAGAAACCTTCCTTTCCTCAAAGAAGCGCCTTTTCTCCGCTTGAGTCCCCATGAATTCCTTAAAGGGTATTTTTATGAATTTCCCTTCACACCCTCTCCCATGCCTTTCCCTGCTTTTCTTAAATTAAGCAAGAATTGAGATCTCTTCCCCTAGTTCAGCTCTTTTCTAAACAAAGTTTCCAGTTTGGATTTTGATTTCTCCTTCTTTGTTCTTTTTGCCGGTGAAGTCTTCAGTATAGCATCATGGGCAATGCAAAGCAAGAAAGCGCCGCTTGATGAGCTGTACATTCGTCACCGGCCGAAAGACGCGTTCCTTTACATGGGTCTCAGAGCTGTGCCAGAAGAATGAGCAAATAATTAAGGGAACTGATTCAGATTCAGATTCTTCTCGTGCATTCTGTTCTATTTCCACGTGCAAATTTGGATGGTGTGTATTATTATATTTTGAACTGTTGCTATTTAAAGAATTCCTTATGAGCGCTCTCATCTCAAACTATTTATAAGCAGCACTGTGTTAAAACTGTTTCAAAAATCCACTTCTGTTGCAACTCCAGGGCAGAGATTGCTAACTGATCTGGGCTTTCTGCTTACCCATTCCACTCCACACCATCTCACACACACACACACACACACACACACACACGCACACACACGCGCACACACACACTATCCTAGAGGTTGTCCACCCTTCCTGAGCATCATAGCTACCTAGGGAACTTTTTAAAAATATGGATGCTCAATCCTGTGTATTCTAATTTTTCTGGTCTGGGTCTTGTAAACTCCACAAGGTGATGATAATATACAATTGAGGTTTAAAACCACCACTCTAGGAATTCCTAACCTCTTTTTCACAAAAAGATTCGTCGTATGCAAATGTTTATACAAACTTTATAAGTAAAAACTGGAAACAATCCAAATCTCCATTAACTGGTAAATGGATTAAAAAATGTGATATATCAAAAAAAAAGGAATACTATTCAAATAAAAAGTAATAAACCACAGATATATGTTACAATATGACAAACCTCAACACATTATACTAAATGAAAGGAGTCAAAAAATATACATATAGTATGATTCCATTTATAATTATAATTTCTAAACAAGTCAAAACTGTAAAGATAGAAACCATATCTATAAATGTCTGTGGCTGGTGGGTTCAAATCGCAACCTTTTGGCTAACGCTCGGCAAGGATTGACAACAAATGGGCAAAAGAAGACTTTTTGGAGTGATTAAAGCATTTTAAACCTGGATTGCGGCAAAAAAAAAAAAAATGAATTGAATTATACACTTAAAATGAATAAATTTTATGGTATGATGTAAAAAAGAAGACAAAGAAATTTGTAAAGCTAACACTACCTTATTTCAAGAGCTATTACAATGCTACAGTAATCAACACAGCGTAGTATTGTTGTAAAGATAGATAAATCAGCCAATGGGATAGAAGAGGAGAAAGCAGTTGCAACATATATATTTGATAAAGGACTTGTATACAGAATATATAAAGAACTTGCAAAACTCAATAATAAGAAAACAAATAATACAATTTAAAATAAAATGGACAAAAGATTTTAACAAATGCTTCACCAAAGAAGATATATGGATGGTATATAAGCGCAAGAAAAGATGCTGAATGATTTAGTTATTAGGGAAATACAAATTAAATTTACCACGAAATACAACTATTCGAATAGTTAAAAACTTTGATCATATGAGTATTGATGTAGATATAGAGTAACTGTAACTCTCATACACTGCTGGTGGAAATGTAAAATAGTACAACCACTTAGAAAACTCTTAAAACTTAAAAAATTAAACATACATCTACCAAACAATCCAGCCTTTCCAATCCTAGATCTTTACTCAAGAGATACAGAAGTATATATACCAAGTGACTGAAGGACTACATGAACCACAGACTCCACCAGCCTAAGACCAGAAGAAATAGATAGTGCCCGGCTACCAACAATGACTGTCCTGACAGGAAACACAACAGAAAGTCCCGGACGGAGTGGGAGAAAAGTGCGGAGCAGAACTCAAATTCATTTAAAAAGACTAGATTTAAGATGGCGGTCTAGGCAGAAGCACCACGCCGTCCCTCCACAACAAAGATCCGAAAAACTAAGCCAAACAGAGAATCAACAATCCTGAAACCCTA